TAGATAGATAGATAGATAGATAGATAGATAGATAGATAGATAGATAGATGATGCTATTATACTACTATTATTCATAACAGTAGATTGAAAGTTAGATCAGTATGTTGATACTAAACGTTTGGATTATGCTACCATAAATAATTAACTCCCATTATCGCATAGAAGTTTTCTTTCTTTTTTTTTTTTTTTACTCAACTTAGATTTCACCGGAACACGACCGTTGCCATGGATACAAAAAAACACAGTTAGCAAACCAGCTACACCTTTCTTCGTCTGGGAGGAAAATACGTTGTCTTTTTTTTATATACTTAAATACAAGAAATGTTTACTTACGGTTTAGGAACTGAATAAACGCAGTTTTTACATAGTTTAAAGACAAAAAAAACAGTTATAAGTTTAAAAGTCGAGAGACGTCATTGTAATGCCTCTCTTTAGATGTAAAAAAAAACAGCACGGTACGCTAGAGTAGGTGCCGCAGAGCACACTGGGAGATGTAGTTGTTGGAGTTCACGGAGTGCTGAGGATGAGAAAATAATGATTCCTCAAAAATTTTAAACCTTGCTAAAGAAGAATTTTCACCTTCTTTTTTATTGATTTGGTCTATTAGAAAATCCCACATTGAAAAACAATGCCTCTCCTGTAAATGTCAACATTTGAAAATTGATTTTCCTTTTTGAAAAGCAAACCTTGACTGACAGTATGCTGTAGTAGCTAAATGGCAGAAGTACTGATCCCTCATATACTTGATCTGTAGAAGCTTAGGAGCCAAAGTAAAAGGAAACAGATGTACTTAAATCCTCAGAACAGAGATTTGGACCTTTACTCGCAGTAACAGCTCAAAGAAGTCTATTGCTACATTTAGTTATCCCCACCAATTAAAACACAACTCGCAGTTCTCAAAGTTGGCATGAAGACTTAAAAAAACTCTGTTAAAAATGTGTTTTCTTTAAAAGTAATCTACCGTATTAAGACTTGAATAGATCACATAAAAGATCAGGTTCCAAGAATGATTTGAAATTTTATTATATTTATATACGTATATGTATGAAAGTTTGGTCAATGATCAAATCTGTATAAAAACTAAAACATTTTCAATTTAACGAGAACTGGGCGTTAATTTAATTGCTTTGAATGTGGCTACTGTATTCATTACCAAACTCAAAATCTATTACTAGACCAAAATTTCCTGTATACTGCTTATCTGGTTCCAAACTAAAAAAACATATGCTGGTGTGAGATTCTTATAAGATGATTACCTGGTGATTAATCTCCACTGCATCACAGCACTAATTTGTTAATAAAAATGGAAGAGTATTCTGTGTTGCCATGAGTACAGAATTCCATTTAAGGTAAAGCCCATCATATAGGTGCTTTTTTTTTTACTTTCTTTGCAATATACCAGAAATGATTACTTCAGTGAATATTGCAATAGACTTGATGTGGGGTTTGTGTATAGTTTACTTTATTAATGCCCTGACTTCAGAAAACAAAGCAACTGGATGGTTTTTTATAGAGGAAAATGTCAAAACCCTTTAATTCAAATTGTTTTTAAGGTAGAAATCTATTCTCTTCTCTTCAGTTGTTTCTTATTTACACATTCCTCTGCTTTTAAACCACCTTTTCGGTCCTCAACAAAATGTCCCTACTCTTAGAATTTAAGCTTTTCCTGAGGAGCTGGCTCTCCTGTGTGGAACCATGGATCTTGATAAAGGTCACAGGATGTCCTTTGCTTCACCTGCAGTTGGAGTTATTGTCTTCCTTCAGCAACCTGATCTTTTTCTTTGGATCTTTCAAAGGCTCTTGAAGGAAAGGTTATGATTTCATAATTTTTTCATATTAGTTGGTACCAGCAACTGGTCAGAACATAGATCCAAGTTTAAACAAACAAAATGACAACTAAGACCAGGAGGCATAAAATCAGGCGCCTTAATTTAGCACATGAATAATTTTTTCTTGGATAATCTGACTGTATGTTTCAGTACCAACAAGACATCCTGCATGCTCATTCAAGGTGACCCATCCATCTATCCACAGCCTAATTCCTGGTCTTTTTCCCATGATGCTCCTGTGTGAGGGTGCTCTCCGATTAGCACTTTAATTACAAATGAATTTCCACTGTGATCAGATGACACCGGCCTGGGCGCCCGCTCTGACAGCTGATCCAGTCTCCAGGGAGGCAGCAGCACAGCACCCATACAATATTTAGTATGATGCTCCCGCCTAAGGAGGGCATGTCATGATGAAGCCTGCAGACTGCCTGGATCCATCAGGGGTTAATCCACTTACTGGCTAGGAGGCAATACAGTTAAATTACTTAAGAAATGAAGCATACAGAAGAAATGTTTTTCCCAGTTTTGGTTTATTGTGTTGGTTTGTTTATTTCTTTGACGAGATTATATACACAAATTAGTACAAGAAAAGTTGTCAAAAATGAAACTTTTAGAAAAAATATTTGAAAAAGACTTTCATATAAGTGTGCTTCTTGGTAGCCCTTAATTCTTATTTCTCTTTCCACTTTTTTCCTGTTTTTTTAAGAGTTGAAAACAAACAAAACAATTCCAAAATCTTACATTAAGAATGATTTCCAGATAGGAAACAACTGGTGCAGTATACTATCAGCTACAGCAGACATTAGAAAAATAGTCTCCCTAGACTGATGAGGTTGAAAAACCAGAATCAGTGATACAAAGGTTGCCCTGTCGCCTAAGGTTTTATATTCAAACAGAAAATCAGAGATTACGTCACATCTAAAAAAGCAAATGTTTGCTACTTCTGCAGCTGCTTTGATTATAATAATTTATACGTTGATATTCAGCAAATTTTAAGCTAGGTATTTTCTTGAATATACTCCTAGATGATTCCCATGCAGAAAGAAGAAAATTATAAGCTTTACCTTTTTTTTTTTTTTAAATCAACATTCAGTAGATATTTACCAAACAGCTTCACATTTCACTCCCCTCAGTCGCTCAAACGTTTTATTGCAGAATAGTAGACAGATAGGTGAGGATCAAGAACACAATCTCACTCGGCGCCAGTGGCTTTAAGAGCTGTGGTGAGGCGTCTTAAGGCTCGCAGATCAAAGTTTCCACCACAAACTTGTTCTCGAAGTGGCGAATCTTGTGGCAGTTGAGAGCTTCACGCTTCTGGATACCTGTGAGATGGAAAAAGGTTTGTTATCAAGCTGCAGAAATGGTAGTTTGCAGCTCGAATTCAAGTTCTCATGGAAAACAATATATAGTCTCTAACTTTATTTGACAGTCTAACATAAAAGGATAATTATTAAGAGAGAGGAAAATGATTCTATTCAGTTAATTTCTACAGCACCAATTCACAACACATGTCATCTCAAGGCACCAGATCATACAGTCAGATTGATTCAAAGTTTTCTATCTAAGGAAAACCAGTTGATTGCATCAGACCAGGCATACATGTAGCAACAGTGGAGAGGAAAAACGTCCTTTTAACAGGAAGAAACCTCCTGTTTGATATGGAGTTGTTAAACTGTCATGGTCTTGGTTCTGTTGTGCTTTACTTTGCTCCTTGTTTTCTAGTTTTATTGGTTTAATTTCTATTTTTGTTGTAGTTTCTAGATTTATGTTAGTTCTCAGGTTTTTCTGTTTTCCTCTGTTGCCCTCTTGTGTGTGTTCCTTTCCCCTTGGCTTCCTCGTTGTCTCCTCTCACACCTGCTCCTTATCCGCTCGTTAACCCTGCCTTTGTCTCAGTCAGCTACATATACTCTCCCTCTGCTGTCACTCTTTATTGGTTCCTTGTCATTGCCGTCTTCCCATGCTTTTGTCTACCTACCTCGTCTCTCCCTGGCTTCTCATGTTTGGTTTCCCCAAATGTCTCCGTAGTTCTGATTTGATTTACATTATTAATTGGATTTTTCAATTCCTGCCTTTGTTTTCTGTTTTTTCATCAATTAAACTGCAAGAAATCTCCGCAGCCTCCCTGCCTCTGCATCTGGGTCTTCAAACCTCAACCAAACCCTGACATAAACTTTATAACATTATTTTGAATTCGCTCCCCTTCATTATTACATCGCTTGATAAAAATACAACAAAACTAATTATTTTTACAAACAGCTTTGATTAAAATCTTATTCTCAAATGGCTAAGTCTAGAACTATAACTGAGAAATGGTGAGACCTCAAATGGATATTTATGAATATTTTAACCAATCTGCCTGAATTTGAGCTACTAACAAAGCAGATTAACAAAAAAGTAAAATAAATTAAAAAATAAGCATCCAGCTGTATGAAGCTGGTGAGGAAACATCTAAACACCTTCAGCCTGATCCTCTCTCCCTAAGTGGGGGGAATTAAGCATCATAAAATCCCAATAAAATACATTAAAGTTGCTGAAGGGTTAAAGGGTGTGAATCCCCTTCAAAACAATGCACCCCATATTTGCTTTAAGATCAAGTGGGCCTTATTTCCTTCGGTTCAGTTTCTCTTTAACCTGCTCAGTATTTTGTTTGTGTGACACAGCTGCTGTTAAATGGTTAAAAAAAAGGTACACACCCAGGATTCTGTCTCTGCGCTGCAGCTTGAAGGTTTCCTTCCCACGGCAGAGGTTGTTAATGAAGTATCCAAGCTGGTCGACGTGCTCCAGGCGCTCCGTCACCACCATCTCCTCATGGATCAGGTAGGATTGAGGCAGGTAGGTACCAGCCTGGACAGAGAGGAAAAATGCTAAACAAATCCATCACAGAAAAATATACTTTCATTTTTGTCAAACACATTTTTTTCCTCCATTTTTATTAAATGCTCACCAACCCAAAAGAAATACTTTGACACCCTGAGTTTTAACATTTTACCACATAACCTAAGGCTTTATGAGTCACATCATTTTCCGTCAATAACGATTTGTTGGAACATTTGACTGCGATGAAAAATGTACCCAGTGCATTCCTTTAGACTAACACATGCTACATCAGGCCCTATTGCATCTAAAGGACAGAGCGCCTGTTCTGACATGTTGCTTAGTTTCTAAATCTTCATTTTATTCACCGCTCTTGAAAAACAATATGACAGAATCAGATCTTAGTCTTTCAGGAATCCAGCATGGTTGAGGTCAGATTTCTGGTACCTTAATATTGATGAGCAGATCCAAAAGGTCTCTGGGAGGCATGACGATGGACGTGTTGATTGGGATAACATAGCATTTGTTGAGGTTCAGATCCAGGTAGGCAGTCAACCTCTGAGAGAGGAAACAAAACACAGAGATAAATATTAAGAGCATGAAATATTACTATGAAAGTAGTTCTGTTCTATAATGATTTCAGGTACTGCTCAAGGCAGGTAGAGTGTTTCTATCAAAACTGACAGATCAATCCAAATTAAAATTGGGTTGTCCTTTTTCGAATTGGGGTAAACTTTTACTTGATCATCAAACACACTAACTGAACATTAAATGAGGAACTAACATGAGGAGGTCTAGAAATGCCTCAGATTGTTGAAAAAGAAACAAAAGCAATGGTCTACCCATCATCAAAACAGAACCATCCTCCTGGACTCTTATATCATGCTCTGAGCCGTCTCACCCTCTGGAAGTCATGGACGATATCTGCAGGGTCTCCTTCCTCGAACTCAGGCACAGGAACGCTGATGAGCTCCACCTGCTCCCGCTCCAGAACCCTGATCCTCTCTTCTATCCTCTGCACGATCCTGCTGGGCCTCTCAACCTGTGGAGGTTAAAGGAAGAACATGTTCACTATACTGCCTCACCCTGGAGCAGTGGGAGCTTCAGAATAAAACTTCCTGACTAGTTATCTTTATATTTTAAGTTATTGAATAAAATGTAAGCAGCTTTCAACTAAACAACAATAGATGAAGTACAGTTTTCACAAACCTCTTCATCAGGAACCATGTAATCTTCCTCAACGTAACCTACTCCACACCAGTAGACCGGCTTCAAAGAAGAAAATAAAAAATGTTAGGATCTATACAAACATGTAGAGATCGATGACATCACAAGGCGACACAGACACACACTTTGATCAGCTTAAAGGACATTTACAGCAACTATTTAATCTAACAGCCATGTTCCTGGACTGGAGGAGCTGCAGCACATTGAGCTAGCGAAGCATGCAAACTCACTGAAACGCTCTGCTTCTACCTCCTTTCTTTCATTTGGCTTTTTATTTCTCTTCACCAAATGAGGATTTTACTTGCAACGTGATTAAGTTGCACACCTAACACATGTTTTTGATGTATTGTTTGGCTGTAATTCATAAGAAGACAGTCTGTGTGGAGACCAGTCCTCTCATTTTAAACCTAAAATAATTCTCTCTGAAATAGGAGCTAAGACGCTGTCTGTAATTTATCTGCATGACCAACTTTTTTATAAACTGATCACAATTGAAGAGACTTAGAGGGCTGATTTTGGGGTTGTTTTTCTACCCATATTCAGCTAATAAAATGAGTCACAGAAGAGCAGTTTTATAGATTTAGGTTTAAAAAAAATACAATTTATCAGAGCAGTCATTGGACATAAATGCCATAAAAAGCCTGCAGGGGAGCTGAAGAGCAGGAAGCATTTGAAAGAACTCAGCCAACATCCTGACATTCAGTTCACAGCTGAACCCATGAAAAAAGGGCTGATTTGAAATCTTTTTTTTTTCCTCACTTGAGGTTCTTCCTCAGAGCTGTAGAGACTTTTGTTCACCTCCTGGGTGTAGTAGCGGTACAGGTAGGCTCCTGCTACGACCACTCCAGACAGCATGAGGGCCAGACCCAGGCACATGCACCAGCACCAGACGCGAGAGCGGCGGTGCACCAACACAGCAGCTTCAGCGTCCTGCAGAAGAGAAGAGAGAAAAGTTTTAGGCCACATTCAGTCTGGGAACAAGTTTCAAATGAACCCTACTCCAGGCTTCATGTGATTACCTTAATAGTTTTATCACAAACTGATATTAGTTCTGTTTTTATCCAATAATCTACTGATGGGTTCTTTAAGAATATCCACAAAACAGTAAATTACTTGTTGAATGTAAATTTAAAGTCAAATACTTTCAGTCTTTTCCAGCTGTGACACAGCTGCTGATCTGGGAACAGAAAAGAATCAGGGTTTGATCATAATTGGCAGACCTCTTGAGTCTGGAAAATCTCCAGAAACAGCCTGCCAGAGGCCAGGGTGTGATGGGAGACCAGGGTGGATCATCGCTTGGAAAAACAAAATACATTTCTATCAAACCGATGAAGGTGCAGAATTTTTTTTTACAAGCACCTGAAGAATAGGCTGCTTGTAATGATATGGACCAGCGGCAGGTAAAAGGAACAGAAAGGCTCAGGTTATAGAAAGGGAAATAAAAAAGGGTTAGGGAATAAAAACAGCTGCTTTTCAACCTCAACTCAATAGCATGTCTGTGGCTTGGGTTGCTGACTACTCTTTAAAATAGTAATAAAAAAGAAATAATAAAATTCAACAAAGAATCAAAGCATCAAGTTTCAAAGTGTGGAAAAAGACAAGCATATGTCTGCATTATACGTATAATAGTTAATCTAAAATCACCTCAGTTGTCTAATTTAAACAAGAGAAGCATATAAAAACCCTGTTCTGTCATTGAGGAATCCAAGTTTATGCTTCGTAAAATATTAATATCTGTGTTAATCCACTTTGGACACACTGACTGACTTCCCAGCAGCGGCCATATTTTCTGCTTCGCTCTTCTGACACTGTTTACAGCCGTACCACCCAGTGCAGCTCAGGGACACAAACATTTCCTGCTGTTGTTCTCATGCACTGAAACCGGCAGCTAAACCAGAAATAGAAAACATAAATAAAACACAAACTGAAATAGCTTTTAACTTTATAAGGTAAGTTCAGGTCTAAAAGTTTTTACATGACTTCATTCCTTAAAGAAAATTCTTCCTTCACAATATTGAACGGTTTGAAACAGCCGAATGTTTCTGGTTTTAGAATACAGAATAAACATTCAATATGTCCATGATGTCCTGTTTTATGCAGCTATTGTCTTGCTGTTATCAGTCCTTCCCAGAAGTGTTCAAACAGCCTCGAGTATTTCATTCTTGTCGTGTTAAAGAGGCACTATTCACTGAATTTATTTGGATTGTGTTTGTTTGTGACAGACCAATAGAAAACAGTTTATAGCTGAAGTGGAGGAAAAAAGCTGTATTGTTTGTGAAATGGAAAACAGAATGGCAAAGCATGCGTTTGTGTTCAGCTCTACAAGTCGATAATTTTTCACTGTAGTTACAGCAGGAAGACTTTCATCATCTAGCTTTGAACATCTAAGCAAAACTACTCAAGTTTAGTCTGATTAAATCAGGGGCAGCTGTGAAGAACATTATTTAAATCTTGGTATAGATTCTCCATTTAGACTTTGACTAGGACATTCCAGCAGCACTGTCTAGCTCTAGCTATGTGTCTAAGGTCATCTCTCCTTTTTCAATATATCTGTTTTTCTTTATAGACTGGCAACGTCCCACTGTGCTGAAGAACCAACATGTTTTACCAAGATGAAATATTAAACAAAGGTGCACTGTTCTATAGAGTATTACCTCATTATATGTATAATTTCCTTTCAACTTCAAAATCGTCTGAAACTTTGTTGCTATTTGAAATTTCTTTCAAAACACACTAAGGCTAAGACTTGTATCTAGAGATTAAGTGATGAATTGTCTGGCCAAAGGATGAGTTAGTTGAATTGCTGCTCCCTCCGTCTGCTAATCCACTCTTGACCTTTTTCTTTTATTTGTTAATAACAGTTTTTGTTTAAACAGAGTTTTTTGTGCCGTTTTAATCATGTAAATCAGAAGAAGCAACATTAGCTTCAAGAACCGCCTCTCCTCCAAGGCCCTGTTGATGTGGAGTTATGGGTCAATGGCTACTGATTTCAATCCGTTTCCAAGTCCCTTTATGTTCAGCAGAGAACAAATCAGAATGTTCAGCCTTACTGCTCACACAAAAACAAGTCCCCAACTTATGAGATAAAACTACAGATGGTCAGCAATTAAAAGACGACAGTCTGCACTTTTAGGCCTTCCCTTCAGCAAACAGGAAACTGAAAAAATATAAAAAACTCCCCCTAGTGATGTTTCCTGGAAAATAATAAGAGTAACAGAGTTGCTGTTGAGAAATGAGGAACCAGAGAAACGCTGGCACAGACTATATGTGCTAAGGGGACATTTCCTGAGGCAGAAGCGTTAAAGCTCAGCTCCTGCTGAGAAGAGGTCTGTTCACATGGCACACACAGCTTGACATGAGCAGAAAAAAGGAACTAAAAACAAAAGAGGATTAAAAAGAGGAAGATGAAACCTCACAAATGATTGAGTCATGCCTGGTTCAGTTCTGAAGTCTTTAGGGAGTGAAATACAGCTAATACAGCATTTCCAGAAAAATTCAAAACAAGTCAAAGAATGTCTGGAAGACGTGTTCAACATGGAGCATAAATTAGAGCCTATTATAAACATATTGAGCCACTCCTATTACTGCTGCAGCAACAGGTCTGTCGAGCCAAGAACAGATTCAAAGTCCATTAGAAACTTTTTATACCAGTATGTTGTACTAAACCAGTCGCTCCCTCTTTTTCATAGATCAGTCTGGCAATTGGATCACAACTGTATTTATGCACAGGAAGTTAAAGATTACAATCTGATTTCATTAGAGGGAGCCCTCGCAGATGTAGGGAGTAGAAGGGAGTGAAGTTAATATCTGAAGACGGGTTCCCATCAACAACATCGTTGTAAGAGAATGTTTTATCTGTTCCAATTTAAATTGTTAAATTGTTAAATTTAAATTGTTTTATCCTGAATGAAGGGTCTAAAACAAGAACCCCGTCCAAATAATAAGGCATTTCTTAAAGTCGTATCTGGATCCAGAGGCTGAGATATTCTGGTTTAACAACCACAACTAGAAAACTTAACCAACAAGACCCAACAGGCCCTCAGAGGAACGTTTCATAACTGCAACGTACACACGCCCTCATTACCACACTCTGCAGCACATTAAAGTATGCAGACGCCTCAGCGAGGAGAAAAGGCGTGTTAAGTCTGCTTCACGTCAACATGCAGCTACAGATCATGGCGCTTTCAGTTAGCAAAGACCCGAAAATCAGCAAAGATAATGCTGCTGACCCGTTTTAAATATAGTTGAAGCAGGTGAAACGAAAACTACGTCACTTGAGGAGCCAATTTACAGACAAAGAAGATTCTTCATCATAAATGGAAAAAATTATTTGTTTACCTGTTTTGGGGTTAATCACGGCTTTAAGAGGGTTTTTCTTTTAGCTATTAAACTCCATAGCCTGTAAAAACAGTTAATAATTATTCAATTACTAAATTGATGGATATAAATTATAATGATCAATTAATAATTTATCTGATTCGTTGTTTGAGTTCTAATATAAAAGCATATAAATCTAAATAAGACTGAATAATAAGATAACCTAAAATATGTAACAGTAGTCAGAGAAACAGACGGTGATTAAGTAGTGGAATAGATAAAAAATTGAAATCCGTGCCTTTTGCAGATGAGATATATTGCAACTGAAATTACTGTTTATGTCCGATGCTACAGTTACGTGACAGAAAGGAAAAAGTAAAAAAAATCAGTGACATATTTATGAACACATCAGGCCACAAAATGTAACCAAAACATAATCAAATTGACAAATGTCAGCACCACTTGTAAAGAAGAAGTGTTTAGTGTTTGTTTTAAATACAGCAAACATAAAACACTGTACAGTGCAGTTAACTGCTGCAGCGCTCTCTTTCCGCATCTTAAAATAGTTTTATGCCATTTTGACCCGTGGTTGCCAATCTGGTGGTCGAACAGACAATTCCCCCACTGACCACATTCAATCTATGGAGACAAAAGAAGTTTTACAGGTCAATAGACTCCTGGACTTTTCCATACAAGCTTGAGTATTTGGAAGGGAGTTCGAGTTCTGACAAGTCAAATATCTATTTAACATGATTCTGAAGAAAACTGGCAGCCTTTTAACTGGAACAGATGCAGGGACGCCTACACCGCTGCCTAAAGCAACAAGTTTGTTTTTTTTTTTACTTCCTTGTCTTTTCTTGAAATAAAGAAGTTACTCAAAGTCTCTTAAAAAAAAACAAAGAATGTTAAAAACAACCTAGTGGGCAATGGCGTCGCTTCTTCACTAGAGACATGTCTTTTTAAACATAAAGGGAAGAGGAATGTTTTTAAGACAAATAACCAAATTTTGATCCATTTGAAAGTCAGCAAATTATGTTCTGTAAATATAATATAGATACAGAAACCAGTTTTTGGTCCCAAATAAATAAATGAGTAACCGGAAAACGTCAGTAAAAGTGTAATGGATGTTAGTAAACGTGTTTAAAAGGTCCTAATGCATAAGGTGTGTAATTGATGTACTCTCATAACTTTATCCATTTAAAGGAGATCATAGTTCATTAAACTACAGCTAGGAAGGTCTAAGCATTAATCCACCTGATGAAAGGTTGTGTTTGCGTTTCTCTGGTGACAGGTGAGTATCTGTACAGAACAGGTTTGACTTCCGTGCACCGACACACACATATGAAACTCTACACCTCTATTCTGCATAAGAGCTAAAAACAGGTTACAGCGGTGGAGAGGACCCCATTCAGGACATTGGTAGTCACTACTTTACCGACACGATTTAATCATTTTGATAAAATCCAATGACAAAAATTTTTTTTTTTACCTTTTAACATTTATAAATATCCAAAGTAGAGCTTCTAAGGAAGGAAATCTGCTTTTATCTGGCTCCATAAATTACACTGGAATTAGTTTAAGTGGATTATAAAGAGTTAAATCTTGGACTTCCA